GCCCCCGGCACTGGCTCCGGCACCACGGCCGCGACCAGCTCCTCCGGCAGCGAGGCCGAGCCGACGGGCAGCCCCCGCACGAACCTGCAGCACAGCCGAGAGTGCTCGGTCCCAAACCCCTGCCCCCCAAACCCCAGCACCCTGCTCCCCGCTCCCCCACCCCAGTAAGAGATGGGATTGCCCTTACTGGTCCCCGTTGGCAGCGGGGGGGAAGCTGCGTCTCACCACCTCCACAAACTCGGCCACGGTGTCGGCCAGCGTGAAGATGACGGCGTTGGGGCCGGCGTCGAAGGTGTAGGCTACCTGTGGCGGGATGGCAGGAGAAAGGGGGGGGGGACACACACGACATATGGGGACTGGGACACGGCACCGCAGCAAACAGGGAGCCCAGCGCCGTACTGGGGTACCTTGGTGCGCCCGTGGTGGGCGTTGAAGCGGTGTGCCAGGGCGATGATGTGCCGCGAGAGGTCGTTGAGGTAGAAGATGGGGGGGAAGGTGTCGAGGCAGGTGGCGTGGAACTGGTTGCTGTCCCGCATGGTGAGCTGCCCGAAGGCCTCGAAGTCCCGCTCGCGGATGTGCCGCGCCATCAGCGCCAGGCGAGCCGGCACCACCGCCTCGGCCCGGTGCTGCCGCGGCACGGCGGGGGTGCTGTCACCGCAAGCCGGGGGGGGGGCACCCACGGCGCCGCGACCCTTTGGGTTTCCCTCGGGTGGCACGCCGAAGGAGTAACCCCCCTGGCCATCCTCCCTCCAGCACGGAGAAATACCGCCCCCCCGCCCCCCCCCCCCCCCAAGGGAAGCAGCACCCCAAACCCCACCGGCGGCCCTGGGCAGGATTAGGCCTGCCGCCCCGTACCTTCAGCAAGGGGCTGGTGTCCACGCTGCTCTGCATCCCCACCGTGCTGCCCACCTGCTTCTTCTCCCCACTGACCTGAGTGGGGGGGGGGGGGGGGGGGCACAGACAATGGGATGTCACCCCCACCCCACCCCGAGCACCCAAACCCAGTGCTGAGCTCAGCACCAGCCTCAGGGACGCCCCCAGCACCATCCCCCCTCCAAATCCCACCCAGCCCCGGGGTGGTGGTGGGGGGGGGGGGGGGGGGGTAGAGCCATCTGTCTGCCCACATGTCCATCCCCCCCAAGCCCCTCACCACCAGGATGAGGACCCTCAGCTCCGGCCAGTGCGTCTCGGGGGCGATTTGGTGGGCGAGGCTGTCCCTGCCGTCGGGCCGCTCGCCCCTCTCCCACTGCACGAAGCCCCCCGCCATGCTGCGGCAGGCGCTGCCCGAGCCGCGCCGCGCCACCTCCGACAGCTCGCCCTCCACGCCGTACAGCCGCGCCAGCGCCGACACTGCGGGCAGGGGTGGGAAAACATCAGGGATGGGGGGGACACACACACACACACACACACAGATCACCCCCCGCCTCCACGTCCCCCGCTCACCCACCCAGGCAGGCGTAGCCGGCGGCGGAGGATGCCAACCCGGCGGCGGTGGGGAAGTTGTTCTCGGTGGCGACGTGGATTTTGTAGGAGAGGCTGAGCGGGGGGGCCGCGTCCTCGGCGCTGTCACCACGGCGCTTACGGGCCAGGCGCCGCACTGCGAGGGGACGCGGCTCTGCTTCTTGGTCCAGGGGACACCCTGCCCGGTCCCTGGGGGTCCCCCGGGGTTCGGGGTGGGGGGCACGGACTCACCCTCTCGTAGGCAGGACTGCAACCGGGGGTGCCCCACGTCGGCCTCCTCCCCGTTCAGCCACAGCCGGTCTTCTGTGAAATCCCGGCTGGCGGCGGCCGTGGTGGTGGTCTTCAGCTGGAGGGGAGCGGGGGGGTGAGGATGGGGGGGGGTTGGGGAGGGATCGGCACCCCCACCCCCTCGGGGGGGGGGGGGGGGGGGCGCAGAGGAGGAGGGGGGATCCCCCCCCCCCCCCCCAAACCTGGTCCTGGTGCAGCGTCACGCTCAGGGAGGAGTTGATGGGCAGGATCAGGTCGTTGTCTCGCTTGCCCCCTGCAAGAGAGATGGCACGGCTTGGCATGGCACGGAGTGTCATGGCACGGCATGGAACGGCACGGAGTGTCGTGGCACGGCTTGGCACGGCACGGAGTGTCGTGGCACGGCATGGAACGGCACGGAGTGTCGTGGCACGGCATGGAACGGCACGGAGTGTCGTGGCACGGCACGGAGTGTCGTGGCACGGCATGGCACGGCACGGAGTGTCGTGGCACGGCTTGGCACGGCACGGAGTGTCGTGGCACGGCATGGAACGGCACGGAGTGCCGTGGCACGGCTTGGCACGGCACGGAGTGTCGTGGCACGGCTTGGCACGGCACGGAGTGTCGTGGGACGGCTTGGCACGGCACGGAGTGTCGTGGGACGGCTTGGCACGGCACGGAGTGTCGTGGCACGGCATGGAACGGCACGGAGTGTCGTGGCACGGCTTGGCACGGCACGGAGTGTCGTGGCACGGCATGGAACGGCACGGAGTGTCGTGGCACGGCTTGGCACGGCACGGAGTGCCGTGGCACGGCATGGAACGGCACGGAGTGTCGTGGCACGGCTTGGCACGGCACGGAGTGTCGTGGCACGGCATGGAACGGCACGGAGTGTCGTGGCACGGCATGGAACGGCACGGAGTGCCGTGGCACGGCTTGGCACGGCACGGAGTGTCGTGGCACGGCTTGGCACGGCACGGAGTGTCGTGGCACGGCATGGAACGGCACGGCTTGGAATGGCAGAGAGCGTCACGGCACAGCACGGCCCAGCATGGCATGGCATGGCTTGGAATGGCATGGAGTGGCCCAGCATGGCATGGCATGGCTTGGAATGGCATGGCACGGCACGGCACAGCGTGGAATGGCACAGAGTGTCACAGCACGGCACGGCACGGCACGGCTGGGAATGTCACGACATGTCACGGCACGGGATGGCCCAGGTTGGCCGGGCACTGCTCGGCGCGGCGCGGCCCCTTCGCTCCCTCCCACCCCAAGGAAGGCGCCAAACCCGCCCCCCCCCCGCCCCCGCCAGGGTCGGGTCGCGCCCCGCGGGCTCCCCAGGCCCGCGTGGGTCCCGGGGCCGCCGGTACTCACAGTATTTGATGACGGCGATGTTGACAGGGGCCGTGCAGGTGACCATGGCGAGCGCCCGCTCCTCCGCCATCGCGCCCAGACAAGGTGCGGGCGGCCTCAGGCCCCGCCCCCCGCTCCACACGCGTGGGCGTCGCCCGCGCCGTGTTCCCGCCTTCCCATTGGCCAGCGCCGCAGCGCCCGGCGCCCGGCGCCCAATGGCAGCGATCGGACCACGGCGGGGCCCCGCCCCGCCCCGCCCCCTGCCGGCGCTGGGACGGGCGTGCGGGGGCGCCATCTTCGTGTCGGGAAGGGACCGCGCATGCGCCGTTGCGCAGCCGGGAGGCTGATCACGGTGCCCCCAGTACCCCTCCAGTGCTCCCCATGGTCCCCAACATCCATCCACCCCCAAACACTCCAGCGCTCCCCATGGTCCCCAACATCCATCCACCCCCAAACACTCCAGCGCTCCCCATGGTCCCCAACATCCATCCACCCCCAAACACTCCAGCGCTCCCCATGGTCCCCAACATCCATCTACCCCCAAACACTCCAGTGCTCCCCGTGCCCTCAGTACCCCCAATGCACCAGTTCTGCCAGGTAACCCCCTCACTTCCCCAGTACCTCTCCAGTGCTCCCAGTCTTCCTAGTGCTTCCAGAACCCGCCACTCCCCAGTGCTCCCAATATCCCCAGTAGTACCCCAATGCTCACGGAGCCCTCATGGCCCTCAGTATCCCAATGCTCCCAGTGTGCCCAATACCCCAATATCCTAGCACCCCTTCCAGTGCTCCCAGTCCCCCTGCAGAACTCACAGTGATCCCGGGTGGCCCCAGCACCTCGTTCTTCCAGTGCCTCCAGCGTGCCAGGGACTGGGAGTCACCCCAAGACCCCACCAAGTAGCCCCAACGGGGTCACCACTGGTGGGGGGACACAGACCCCCATCCCACCCCAAACCAACACCCAGGGGTGCGCGGGGAGCAGCATCCCCCCCGCCTCTCCATAGTGGGAATATTTGGGGTCCCCCCTCGGTGACAGGGTGGTGGCCCCCTGGACGTGCCTTGGGTATTTATAAACATTTTCCATGGGTGGGAAGGGAGGGGCTGGCACGCAGCTATTTTGGGGGGTGGGATTATTTCCCCCACACACACACTGCCACCAGCACAGGTGCCTGATTTAGCCAGGCAGAGCACAGGGTGCATGCAGCAGCTTCTTCCAGCACCCACCCAAATCTTGTGTGTGTCCTCCCCCCCCACATTGCGCCCCAGCACCCAGGGGTGACATCAGCAGAAGCCGTGGGGAAGGTGCTGGGACCCCCACTGCGGGGACGGCCCCACCACCATTACCTGGAGTCTCACCCCAGCACTGAGGTGCTCAGGGCCACTTGTGGGGTGCCCGACACCCCTTCTCCCCACAGGGACAGCCAGCCACATGCCTGTCCCCACGGCGGGGCCGCAAAACTTCCTCGAAGTGGTTCCCCAATGTGACCAGCCCAGGCCGTTTTGTCACCAAAATTTTTTCTGTGGGGACAGCACTTGGGCAAGGGTGATGAAACAGCATTGCCAAACCCCGTGGCGGCACGGCTTCTTTGAACAGGAGTTGATGAGTTGGGGATGAAGCTGGAAAGATTAATGGGAGGAGATGAAGCTAGAAAGACAAGCTCTGAGTTTGTGGGGGGCACCCACCCCCAGCCACATCCCGTACCCTGGAGTGGAGAGCGCACAGGGAAGCCACCCCTGGATGAAACTGCCTTTATTGAGAAAAAAAAAAAAAAATGGTTTGCTACAAATACGTAGTTGATTTTCTTCTTCAAAAAAAACAGTATGTCTCATTAAAAGTTCTAGTTCTGCAAAAAGTCACGGGTAACACACCGAGGAGCGCGGCCGGCCGGCAGCGGGCAGAGCTGGACCCGACCCCGTGCAAAGCGGGGAGAGGCGGGAGCCCCCAGCCCGGGCCTTAAAGTGCTTTACAAAAGCAGCCGTTGCTGCCCCTGCTCTGGCGTTGCAGGGCGAAAAGGAGGAGGAAGAGGAGAAGGAAGGAAGGAGACAGAGGTTAATAGTGCTGTCCCAGAGGCAGGGAGCTCCCTGCAACCGAGAGCTCTGATGGAATAGAGGGTCCCAGCTGAGAGAGGGACAGAGAAACCCTCCTGGGTCTCTTTTGGGAGATGCCAGTGCTCCCCGTCCCCCCAGAGACATCCCCCGGGCTGGGCAGGTGCCAGCAGTGCCGTGCTGGTAAGAGAAGCCCCCCCATCCCTCCTCGCCAGCCTGGCCCGAGGGAGGGGAGTGGAGCAGCTCCAGCCCTTTCCCTGCCCTCTGCCAGGGGAGCAGATGAGCTCTGCCCGCTCCTCAGAGGGTTGCTGGTGGCACAGCGGAGCTCACAGCCCCCCTCACCCCCGCCAAAAACCACCCCTGTACTATTTAAACCAAGAGTAAAAAACAAAACAGTATTGCTAGAGCAGAGCTGGAGCCAGGTCTCAAGGTAAACCACGAAAGGGCACTTCTCCAAGCAGGGACATGCAGAGGGATTGCTGTCCCACACCTCCTCCCTGCAAATCCTTGCTGGAAGGTGGCCCGGCAGCTCGGCAGGTATCGTGAATCACCACCTCCCCGCAGCTCCTTCTCCCAGGGCCGTGGGCTGATCCCGTCACTGGTGTGACCTCAAAGGGTGGCAGGGTCCCAGCAGGAAGCTCCTCTCCCCCCAGCACCAGTGATGACCCTTCAAGATGGGACGTGGCTTCTCCTTCACAAGGAGATCTCCCTGCCACCCTCCTCCGGCCCAGCAAACTCCACCAGTAGCAGGGAGGGCAGAGAGGAAGGGGACCAGAGGGGACAGATCACCGGGACACTGTGGAGCATCTCTCAAATCAACATCTGCCCAGGTGAGCCCTATTCCCAAGGAGAGGGAGATGCAGTCCCCCGTTTCAGGGGGACAAGATGCTCAGAGCTGAGGTCTCGCACGGGCAGAAGTCCCCCCCGGACACCACCGTGCCACAATTAACCTGCCTGCTCCCTTGCCAGCAGAAAACCAGTGCGCCAGATTACACCCTGCCCGCCACACAGCTCTGCCTGCAAGGGTGAAGCCATCAAAAGCTCGACCTCGTGCAAACGGTGCTGCTGACGTCCAGCTGACAAGGTGCTGCTCTGTGGAGAAAGACGCCGACGAGGGACGGGAACAGCCCAGAATTAATCCAAAAGGGCACCCACACGCCTCCCATGGCCCCCCCAGAGTCCCACCTGCCAGCCTCAGGTCCAGCTCCTGCCTGATTTCAAATCCACAATGTGTTCATTTGATTGTTTGGGTTTTTTTTTTTTTAAAAAATAGACTTTCTTAATAATGTTCCATAAAAATACTCTTGTCCCCGGTGACAGGTATTGCAGTGTGAAGAGTAACAGCTTCTGTTCCCGCTCTATAAAACGTGGAAAAGGCATCACGCCGATTAATGTAGAAAAATGCAAGAACTCAGTATCACAAGAGCCGGTACAAAAGGAGGAAGGTGAGAGTTTCACTGGCCGCCAGATGCCATCCCCGCGGACTCCTCTGAACTCGCTGCTGTCACGGAGCACACGAGGGCAACCATCTCGCCCCGGGATTCAGCACAGCCTGCGCAGTAGCAGGCAAAGGAGGCAGCTCCTGCCTGCAGCACGGGGAACGGGACAGACAGAAGTCCCTGGAAACAGCCTTGTAGGTTTTTTTAAAAAAAAAAAAAAAAAAAAAAAGACGCTCCGTGCCGTTTTCTTCCTTTTCAAAAAGGACGTGGGCAATCGCAGTTTGAAACTAGAGCATTTCTGCATAAAATGCATCGTAGTTTTACGTACCTGTTCAACTGCAACAGAGAGCATGAAGACAAATGGTGCCAAAAAGCATCTAATAATAAATAGATCTGGATATAGGTATATACTCCGTATACGGATATGAAATGCCTAACCGAGGAACGATCCCAGCCCTTTGGTGCTGATTCCTCTCTCCTCCCAGCAGCGGACGTCTCTGCTCACTCACCGGTCCAGCGCGACGCTGAGGAGACTCCACCTTCTTAAACAAGGTGGGATTTGCCCCGAGAGGCGAGGGAAGAGAGGCAGCAGCAGGTCTCTGGAGGTGCCAGGGGAGGTGACGAGCTCCGTGCCTTCCCGGTAGGAAGGCTGAGTGTGCAAAAGGAGACGGGGTGGTGTGGGGGGTCCGAAAAAAAACGACGCTCCGCGGTCACCCTCAGTTCTCAGAGAGCGACAGTGCCAGCGCGGCCTGCAACGCTGCCTCCTCGTCAATGTTATAGTCCTAAAAAAAGAAAAGAAAGGGGTGGTCAGGAGAGCTGGCACAGCCAGGCCACGCAGTCTCCATCAAGCAGGAAGGGTGGCCAGGGCAAAGGGCCCATCCTGCTCCTTATCATCCCCCCGAGGCTCCATCTCCTCTGGCAGGCAGGTCCCAGGAATGCCGTGCTCTTTGGGGTGTCCTTTGTGCCTGCGGTCGCTCTCCTGCCTGGAATCCGCCAACGTCAGCTCCGCTCCTGGATTGGGCAGCGACGAAACATGCCCACGTAAAAAGCTGTGGCCAAAAGGCAAAGCTTTCTAGCAAAGCCACGGGCTTCTCCAGCGCCCCGATTTGGGTTTATGCAACACAACCCCCCCTTAAGAGGGGATATTTCTCTATAAATATCTGGGCGTCCCTTTCCCTGACATCTAACAGTCCTGCAATAAAAGCAAGATGCTCACAAAACCTCCCCACGGTCCCCGTGGCCAGGGCTGGGTGATCACACCCTCACCCCCACACACGAGGGGTCAGCAACCCCCCGAGAAGGGGGTCATGGATACCCGCCATGTGCAGCAGCCAGACCCCCCAAGCCTGGGCTGCACCCCTCCCGCTACTTGTGAAGCCTCAAAGAAAAGGGCTTTTGTGTTACGATTTCTCGGGGGAAGAGTTTAATGGAGTACGTGGAGGAAACAACCCGTCTTCACAAGAACGGTAACATTCCCCTCTCCTCCTTCAAGGGATGTTTTCCTGGTGTGTCTGATGACAACCAGCTCCAGCACCTCCTCGGAGCAGGCAGGGAGCCCAGCCCCACACCCACGGGGGTCTCCTGAGCGGGGCTACACGTGTGCCACATGCCTCTCACAAAGCCCAGAGGAGGATCTGTCCCTTTCCCCTCCCGAGGGGCTGCATGGTGGGAAGGGCTGGTCCTGGCAGGGGAAGGGAAGGGCTGGTTTCATCTCGCAGCCGCTCGGCACGGGACACGGAGAAGCTGACCCCCGTTTTGGCGCCGGGCTGTACTCACCACAAAGGTGTCGTAGGAGAATTTGTGCCTGTGGAGGAGGTGCTGGAGGAAGTTGGCGCTCTTGTAGCTGGGGTCCCCCCAGGGCATGGCTGAGCAGACTGGGCACACCTGGAGCAGGCAGGGACAACGGAGAACCGTGACTCGTGGGGCACAGATCCCCCCCACCCCGCTCCACCTCTGCCTCCCAGAGAGGAAAGTAGTGGTCCCCCCCTTTCTGACAGAGGGTGTGCTAAATAAGGGGTCCCTCAGCCCCCCATCAAGCAGATCCCTCGGTGCACAGAGCCTCTGGCATGTGGTCCAGGCTGTTTTTAGCCCAGTGACAAGTTACACGCACATGTAAGCATGCCTGAGATGGTGCCAGAGCTGGAAGTTCCCTGCCTGGGTCAACACAGCAGGGACGGGGAGAGGAAACCCAGCACCACCCAGGTTGCAGGCACAGGGGGGACAGAGGCAGCTTGATCCAGAGAGCCTCTAACAAAGCAAACAGAAGCAGGTCCCCACCTCCCATCAAAGGGTTTTAAAACAAACTAAACCAGCTGGAAACACACCTGCCCTTTACAGGCAGCAGCGGCTCTGCATGCCGGTGGCCTCAGACACAGCACCAGCTGGGGTGTATTTGGATTTCCAGGAGTCACCCCACACAAAACCAGCCCGTCCCAGCACCCTGGCATCACTCACCACTTTGTTGGGGTCGTTGCGGTGGTTCTCCATGCAGTGTTTCACCAGCTCCTGCTGGTCCAGGTTCCGGGCCCCACAGTACGGGCACACGAACGTTGAGCGATTGGGAATATTGCTAAAGAGAGAAAGGACGAGCTCAGATTCCCCGGGAAGGGACTGGATCGACTCCTTCCAAACTAACCCAGTTGTCCCCTGCTTTCTGTCACCCACCCACAGCAGACACCAGCCCAGCCCGTTCCCACCCCAGCCACAGGCTGGGCCGCACTGGTTTGGTGGGTCCTTCCTCCCACACAGGGCAGTGCAAGAGCTGCAGATGCCAGGAGGGAAAAGGTGCTGATGTTTCTCACTGTGATTGCCCAGGGGAAAGGAAAATACACGCTCGGATTTTAGGGTTTGTAATGAAGATAGAGGGGAATATCAGTGCAGTCCGTAAGGAGGGACACCTTTCCCTGCCCGACGCCTGGTGGTACCTGGGGATAGGCTGGGACGTGGGGACAACTGGAACGAACTTGGGGCAGTTGGCCATCTGTTCCTGCACCTTCGTGCAGGACGAGACGTGAGAGCGCATTTTTGCCAGGGTCACCTGGAAAAAAAAGAGAAGGAACGTTCTGTGAGGTTGCGACGCACTCCAGAGCTACAGCTCGGCAGAGTTTTGCCCAACCGACGTCAGAGCAAACGCCGGGCTGTGTGGGATGACCCACACCAGCGTGGAAGTGCTGCACCAGCCCATCCTTCCTCGCAGGACAGAGATTCAGGGTTGTGTGCTCGCTGCATGCATCCCCAGAGGTCACACACAAGCCACCTCGGCTACAGTACCATCGCACGAGCTCCAGTTTCCTTTGCAAAGGAAGAACTGCTGACGGGTGGAAACCCCGAAGCGCTCTCACACCGAACGGGATCGTTCCTGGGCAGCAGCCAGGGAGTTCCAAGAAAATCCCCAAAGTTAACGGAAGCCAGAAAGTGCATCAACGCGGACAAACCATGAATCACAGCGTTACAGCCGGTCCCTGAAGCATCCCAGACCAGACTTCTGCGGGCTGGGCCAGGCCACGCTGCTGGTTCAGCTTCCCCACGGCTGCTGGGATTGCAGCACCTTAAGCAAAAGCTAAATCCTTACTCTCGTTAGGAGCAGCAGCAGAGCTGGTTTCCCTCAGCCTCTCCTGCGTTGCGGGAAAACCTCAGCCTGCTTTTGAAGGTCCCCACTGCCTAATAATAGCTCCAGCCTGCCAACAAAGGCAGCTAGAAGACAGCGCCTGCATCTCCGCACAGCCCCGCTCGCCTGGCTCACGGCGACACGCAGGGGACACCGCACCTCAGGGACCCACCGAGCAGGGGGACCCTGCAAACCCAAGGGACCTCCCTCTCCCGGTGCCACGGCTGTGGGATCGGCGGCCGAACGAAGCCGTGCCAACGCGGGATGGGGACAGGCAGCCTTCCCCTGCGAGCTTTACCTTCTTGCTGCAGCCTCTGCAGGGAGCCTTGTAGGAGGCAAGCTGCTTCTCCACGCTGGAAGCCTTTTCCACCTTCTTGGGGTCGAAGGGCATGCGGCAGAGCGGGCAGAGCGGGGAGGGCACTTGCAGGCAGGGCTGTAGGCACTCCCCACAAAACCTGGGGGCACAGAGAGCAGCGTTGAGCAGCCCAGCAGCAGCCCAGCCCAGGAGGAAGAGGAGGAGCAGGACCCCAGCCCCGCGGCACGCTCGCTCTCAGGGACTCCTGTGCACCCCAGGCTGCAGGGCAGCCCCAAAACCCAGGGATCCGCATCCCCATTGGGAAAACTGGATAGAATCGGGAGCTTGGGAGAGGGCGAGGGGAGGCTGGGCACAGCCCAAGACCCAAAGCAGCTGCCTGGATGCGCAGATAATGCCGCAGCTCTGCGACCCGCAGCCGAGGGGGGATTTGAACAGAGCCAAACAAAAATCTTTGCTGAGCATCCAGGCTGCGCAGGAATAAAGCGAGCGAGCGCGTTAGAGCCCGGCTCACCTCCTTTTGAGGTCCTTACACCCGCAGGAGCGCGGAGAGAAATCAAAAGCAGCGGAGAGAAAGCAGAGGAAGGCACTCCCCGGGGCAGGGGAAGTCTTGGTGCCCCTTGTCCCAGCTCCCTGGCATCGCACCCGTGAAATGCCCCCAGCTCCAAAGAAGCTGGAAGGGGGGCAAAAAGCGAGACGGTGCTGGGGCACCAAAGCAAAGCCACGGCCTTGACGGGGGACCAAAGTGTCACAGAAACCTGATGTGGAAGGGGGCCAAAGCGTCACTGAAATGCTGGGGTGACAAACGGACCCCAGTTCCTTGTGGCAGCGCCCCAGGGAAGCCTCTCACTGGGTAACAGGAGGCCTCAGGAGCAGGGCACAGCACCCATGGGGGTCAGGGCTGGATTACGGCCCCCCCTCCCGGGTGAGACCCCCAGGTGGCCCTGCCAGAGTCAGGGTGCTGGGAGCAGAGTTTGGGGGAGATCCTGGGGGCAGGAACCAGGGTGGGGAGGGAGAAGGGGGCTGGGGTCAGGGTGGTCAGCGGGGGAAGGACCTTTGGGTACACCCATGCCAGGTCCCGGGCTGCGGGACACATGGAGGGGGCAGCACCCACCTCTCCGGGGGGGGGGGGAAGGTTTGGGATGGGGGAAGGCACCCGGTGCTAGTGGGAAGAAGGACCAAGCACCACCCGGGGGGAGGGATGGAGACGCCGGTACCGGGCTTGGAGTCCCGGTAGTGGGCGGTGGGGGGGGTGTGAAATGGAGGGTCCTGGTACCGAGCTGAAGGGGGGGGGGGGGAAGAACGGGGGTCCCGGCAGCAGGAGGAGCGGGTGTCAGCTTGAGGGGCGGGATGGGGAAATGGCGATGGGGGTCCCCGTACCGGGATGAGAAGGGGTGGGACGGGGGGTCCCGGTGCCGGCTGGGGTCACAGGGCCCGGAGTGGTCCCGGTTCGGGGGTAGGGGGGGGGGGGGTTTAGGCCAGGCCGGGGGGTCCCCGCCGCCCCCGTCCCAGGCCCCGGCTCACGTGTGCCCGCAGCCCGCGATGCCGACGGCGCGGTGGAAAACCTCCAGGCAGATGGGGCAGCTGAACTGAGCCTCCAGCGCCTCGGCGGCGGGGGGGGGAGGCCGGGGGGTCCCGCCCGGGGCCTGAGGCCGCTGCGCCGCCGCCACCAACAAGCTGCGGAACATGGCGGCGGCGGCGAGGGAGGGGGCGCGGCGGGATGACGTCACCGCGCGTCATCGCCGCGCGCCGGCAGGGGAGCGCGGCCGATGGCGGCGGCGATGGGGGATGATGGAGGGTGCGGGGCGGACACGGAGCCGGCACGGCGACGCCGCGGACCGGGACACAGGTGGGAGCCCGAGACGGGACACGGGCTGGCCCTGCGGTACCTCCCCCCCCTGTACCCGCCCTGCAACCCCCCGGTATCCCGCCAGTACCCCCGGGTACTCCCCCCGTGCCCCTCCGGTATCTTCCCTATACCCCCCCCCGGTACCTCCCCAGTATCCCCCCGGTACCCCCTCGGTAACACCCCTCGGTAACCCCGTGGTACCCCCTCGATACCCCCCCCCGGTACCCTCCCCAGTATCCCCCCGGTAACACGCGCCAGTTACCCCCTGGTACCCCCTCAATACCTCCCCGGTACCCCCCCCCCCACAGTATCCTCCCGGTACCGCCCCCCCCCCCCCCCCGGTATTCACTCTGTACCCCTCCGTGCCACCTCCGGTACCTTCATCTCCCAGTACTGTCACCAGTATCCCTCTGGTATCACACGCCCTGTTGTCCCCTCCAATACCCCCCCCCCCGATATTGTCCCCAATATCCCCCCAGTACCACACCCCCTGTTGTCCCCTTCGATCCCCTCCCACCCCGGTGACCGCCCGTGTCCCCGCAGCCACCCGCGACCCTGCGTGAAGTGCGGGCAGGGCTCTGCCGCCCTCGTCATCCGCCTCGGGGACGCCTTCTGCCGGTGAGAGACCGGGACGGGGCGGGATGGGGACTGCCCTGTGCAGGGACACGGGGCCTGGGGACGTTGGGCCTCAGGGACGTCAAGGCTTGGGGATGTTGGGTCTCTGAGATGTCAAAACTTCAGGATGTTGGGTCTCAGACATCAAGACTTGGGGACATCGGGGCTTGGGAACATTGGGTCTCCGAGTTGTCAAAACTTGGGGATGTTGGGTCTTGGGGACACCAAGACTTGGGGACGTTGGGTCTTGGGGACACCAAGACTTGGGGACGTTGGGTCTTGGGGACACCAAGGCTTGGCGATGTTGAGTCTTGGGGACATTGGGGCATGGGGATGTCGGGTCTTGGGGACGTTGGGGCATGGGGACGTTGGGTCTTGGGGACTTTGGGTCTCTGAGACGTCAAAACTTGGGGATGTCAGGTCTCAGGAACATGAAGGGTTGGGGATGTTAGGTCTCTGGGACATCAAGGCTTGGGGACATTGGGGCTTGGGGACGTTGGGTCTCTGGGACATCGAGACTTGGCGACATCACAGCTTGGGGACATTGGGTCTCTGGGACATCAAGGCTTGGGGACATTGGGTCTTGGGGACATTGGGACTCAAAACCATCAAGGCTTGGGGACAGCAAGGCACAGGAATATTGTGGCTTGAGCACATTGGGTCTCAGGGACATCAAGGCTTGGAGATGGGGGGCTTGAGGATTTTGAGGCTCAGGGACGTAGGGGCTGGGGGCCATGGAACACGCCATGGCTCAGGGCCGTGTCCCTGTGTCCCCACAGTGGCTGCTTCCGCGAGTACTTTGTGCACAAGTTCCGTGCGACGCTGGGCAAGAACCGCGTCATCTTCCCGGGAGAGAAGGTACCGGGGCGGGGTGGGGGACACACACATTGAGGGGCGGGGGGGGACACCCAAGTGGTGGCCCCACAGCTGGTGACCTTCCCCCGTGTCCCCACAGGTACTGCTGGCTCTGTCAGGGGGGCCGACCTCCAGTGCCATGCTCCGGCAGGTCCAGGAGGTGAGAGTTGGGGGTGATTGGGGAGGGGGGGGTCCAGGGTGTGGGGGGGACACAGCTCTTGCACCCCCCTCACCCTGCGCCACTGCCAGGGGCTCAGCCGCGAGACGGCCAAGAGGCTCCGCTTTGTCCCCGGCCTCATCTACGTTGACGGTAAGGATGAGCCCTGCTGCTCGCTCCCAGGGCCGGGGGGCTGCCCCGGAGCCCAGCGAGCCTCTGACACCCCAAAGTGACCCCCCTCTACCCTGAAAATGGGGGGTGGGTGGGTGTCCCCTTCCTCACCGTTGGCGGTGACCCCGGCGTCGCCTTGCAGAGGGAGCGGTGCGCGGGCAGAGCCCGGCGCAGCGGGAGCAGAGCCTGGCCTGCATGGAGACCTTACTGCAGGCAACCGGCTTCCCCTACCACCTAGCCCACCTGGAGCAGGTACGGGGGGGGACATGCTGGGGTGGGGGGGACACAGCTGGCCACCCCCAACCCCACCCTGGGGTCCCTCTCTTGTCCTGCAGGCACTGGAGTTGCCCGCATCCATCTTACGGCCAGGGGGATCCGGTGAGCCCAACCCCTCCTACAAGGAAGCCGTGGAGGGCTTCATCCAGCAGCAGCGGCAGGAGGGGGACGGGGAGGGTGGCACCTCGTTGCCCGGCACTGGGGACACGCCGGTGGGGTCCCCCGACGCCCCCCGCTTGCCCCCAGCTGCCCTCACCCAGAAACTGCTACGGCTCTTCGAAGCCACGGAGACGTCGACGGCGAGGGAGGAGCTGCTGCAGATGCTGCGGTGAGGGATCGATCCTGCCCGGCGCCGGCAGGGTGGCAAGCGATGGCGCTGAGCCGCTGTCACCTCGTCCCCTAGGACCCACCTCATCCTGCAGACAGCCCGGAGCAGGGGATACGCCAAGGTGATGACGGGCGAGAGCTGCACCCGGGTGGCCGTCAAACTCCTCACCAACCTGGCGCTGGGGCGCGGCGCCTTCCTGGCCGTCGACACGGTGAGCGGCTCGCCGGCACCCTGTCCCCGAGCTGGGGGCTGGCCGTCCTCACCTGGAGGAGGTGGGGGATGGGGACGTGATGCCATTGAGGGGAGGGGGGGGGCGGTCCCTCAGCGGCCACCCACCCACCCGCCAGGGTTTCGTGGACGACCGCCATGGCGACGTGACGGTGGTGCGTCCCATGCGGGAGTACATGGCCAAGGAGGTCGCCTTCTACAACCACTTCTTCGACGTCCCCACCCTCGTCGCGCCGCCCCTCCCCACCAAGGTAGGGGTGTCCCCTGTCCCCCCACCGAGGGGATCCCAAGCGCTGCGTCCTCACGGTGACAAGGGGGACCCCCCCACACACACACCTAATCCCACCCTTGCCCTTTCCTCTCGCTCCCCCAGCGCCAGGAGAAACCCAGCATCCACCGCCTGATAGAGCGCTTCCTCCTGGGGCTGCAGGAGGATTTCCCCTCCACCATCAGCACCGTTTACCGGTACGGCATCCCCTGCGGGGGCGGGGGGGGGACACCCCGAGATGATCGGAGCGGGGGGGTTTGCGGGTGCACCCCCTTACCCCTTCACGTTGGCTGCAGGACGGGTGAGAAGCTGAGCCCAGCTCCGGCCAAGGCGAGCGACGAGTCCCAGCGCTGCCTGCTCTGCCTGTGCGCCCTGGACATCGCCGGGGGTGAGTGGGGAGTTGGGGGGGGGCACAGGGGATTAGGGAGGGGGGGCAGGGCAGCCATTCGCCCCCTAATTGCACCCGTGTCCTCTGGCTTTTGCAGAGGAGGAGTTGGCCCTGGAGCCCACGCTGATCGTCGAGGAGCCAGAGCCGGTGGGGAACGGGTGCTGCCAGGACGCCCCGGCAGCGGGGTGAGTGTGTGGGCAGGGGGGGGCCACCAAACCGGCACTGGGGCCACCAAACCAGCACCACTGAGGGTCCTTGCCCCCACAGGGCTGAGAGCAGAGCTGCCTTCATCCCACTGCTGTGCTACGGCTGCCGCCTCACCTTCAAGGAGCTGGTAAGGCTTTTTTTTGGGGGGGGGGGGGTGGGGCAGAGTGGGGCAGCTCAGCTTGAGGATGGGGGTCCCCATCCCCACGGCCCCTCTCTTGCAGGGTCCCCTCGCCACGCTGCCGCCCTACGTGCGCGCCGAGGCTCAGCGCAGGATCCGCAGGTGGGTGGGTGGGGGGGGTCCCTTCCCTACCGGCTCAGCCCCCAGTGCTGCATCCGTCCGTCCGTCCGTCCACACTGTGTCCATCCCTTGCAGTGCAGAGATGAAGCAGCAGAGCCAGGAGGTCCCGCTGGAGGATGAGGAGCCCGGCAAGAGCTGAAGGGGTTGGGGTCGGGGGACCACCCCATCCCTAGGTGGGGGCACTGGTGGGGCAAGGTGCCACCCCCCCCAGCCAGCAATGACCCATAGGGTGGTAGGGAACCGGACTCCTGGCACCCAGGCAGCTGCTTTTACAGCCCATTTTGGTTACAGCTGGGGGGCAGGGAGAGCCCCCAGCCCCCATTTGGGAAGGGCCAGGGGTGCTGGTACCCCCTGGGGCAGCAGGTCCTCGGTCCCTGCACCCCCCTCCCTGCCCCAGCCACGCATCAGCCAGGGAGGCCTCAGCTTTGTTTTATTAGATATCTGTATAAATAAACCATTTGAATTAATAAAAAAAAACAAAAACAAAAACAAAAAAAAAAAAACAAAAACAAAACCGAAGTCAAAACAAGTGTCTAGAGTCTGGCTGGGGCTGCCAGCCCCCTTGCCCCCATGGCTGGGGGGGCCAGGACCCAGGGCCCCCCCATCCTGAAGCTGGGGGGCTATTGCTTTTGAGTTCAACCTGGTTCTGGAGCAGGGCTGGGGAGGGCGGGGAGGGGGCACGGGTTAGCTCCTGACCCCCCCCCTCCCCCCCACCTTTGCCCAGCAGCCAGGGGTGCTCAGCGGGTGGTGGTGGTGGTGGGAGGGGGGGGGGGTGGGTCCAGCTCCTGTCCCCCCGCCCTGGGAAGGCACGACGCGCTCACCGCAGGTCAGACGGCTTCAAAGCAACGTAAGAAAAACATCCTCCCTAAAAGCGAGCGCTGAGCACCCTGCGTCCCACTGCCTCCCCCGGCAGGATACGGCCCCGGGTTGGGGGGGCACTGGTTAAGGCATTGGTGGTGATGTCCCCGAGATGGGGCGGGGAGGGGGGGGGGTGTGTGGTAGAGGTGGGCCCGCAGCCCCTTCCCCTTATTCCTTCTCCCGCGTCCACTTGATCATGGTCTCGGGGGAGCGGTAGAGGAAGATGAGCTTGGCGTAGAGCTCTTCCTCCAGCTCCAGCTCGCCCGTCTCCCGCACCAGGAAGATGTCCTGGCACAGCTTGAGGATGCGGTCCACGCAGGGCAGCTCCTCGAACATGATGGAGTGCGAGATCTCGCTGAAGAAACCCCGCACGAACTTCCCGATCACCAGCACGATGGAGACGTACAGCCCCATGATCCTGCAAGAGACGGGGGGGGGGGGGGGCACATCCCATATCCCACCCTCAGCTTCGTACCCCTCTTGGGGTGCAGCCAGGTGGTTTTTTTGGTTCTTCTTTTTTTTTTTTTCCCCTCCCCTCCCCATCCCCTCCACGTACCCGTAGCCAGCCAAGAAGCCCAGGCTGGGGGGGCTGACTTTATCGTTGAAGATGACCATGGGCAGGATGTTGCCATCGCGGCGGGGGGCCTCTTTCAGCCGCACCACCCACCACTCCAAGAAGCTGTTGCCCCCCCGGCTGGCACCCGCACGCTCCCGTTTCAGTTGCACCTCCACGTCCAGGTAACTGTCCTCTCCATCTGCCGAGCAGGGGGGGTGGCACCATCAGGGCATAGCACAGCTGCTGCTGTGCTCCCCAGCATTGATTTTTATTTTTTTTTGGGGGGCGGGGAGGACACGATGACATGGTGGGACCCACCTGGCAGCAGCTGCTTGACGGGTTGGGCTTCGGGGCCGTTGGGCGCCCGGATGTATTTAGGGAAGAGTTTGGGCACTTGCCTGCAAGAAAGCGGGGTGAGCGTGGGGTGGGGGGACACCATCCCAGTGAGCACGAAGTTTGGGGGGGGGGGGTCTGGCCCGCCGTCCCCTCCCTGGGGACACTCACACGGGGGTGTCACGGGTGCCCTGCAGCAGCTGGGCCAGCTCCAGGCGCTGGGGTGCCCCGGGCTGCAGGTCGGTGGTGTGCTTGTCGAAGGTGTGTTCCACCGTCCCCCCCTTGCCCAGGTCCCTGTGGGCAGCAGAGGCTGAGCCTGGGCGGGGGGGGGGGGGTGCACAGGCAGAGCTTCCCCTTCCCCTCCCCTTACACCATCCCGCTGGTACCTCTGGAAAGTCCAGGTGAGGCGGAGGGTGATGTCGGAGGAGCCGTTTTGCAGCTCCCGGCGCATTTGCTCCCGGCTGGGGGGGCTGATGCTCCAGAGCGAGCCCGAGCTGCCCTCGATGCGGGCCGTCACGATGTCCTCGTAGCCGTACAGCGTGATGAACTGCATGGCCACCTGGCCACGGGGAGAGGAGGGGAGGGGGGGGACACAGACACACACACACAGCTCAGCCCCCAACCTGGGGTACCCCCAGCTCTGCCAGCCGTGCCGCGTTCCCCCCCCGCCCCCCAGCAGGATGGAACAGGGAGAGGGGGGATATTATTTAGCAGGGGGAAAGTGGGATTTACCGGCTGCCTCTCAAACTGGTTGGTGAGGGCTTCGTAGTCCTGGGGGGTGAAGGGCTGGATGGATTGCTGCTGGGCACTCATGGTGAACAGAGGCTGCGGGGGTGGGGGGGGCGGGACACAGGACACGTGGGGTGCCCATCAGCCGGGGGGGTAGGGGACCCCAGCATCCCGGCTGGGGCACCCCAGCAGCCAGCCCCTGCATCCTCACCTCGTACCCCCCCAGCTTGAGGGTGACGGTGACGTCGATGGGGTGGTTCACGACGCCCACCACGGAGCGCACCAGCGACATGAAGAGCAGCGGGAACCAGATGATGGCCACGAGGAAGAGGATGATGAGTCCCCCCATGCCGTACTTCACGATCTTCTTCTTCTTCTGCCCCTTGGGCTGGGGGTATTTCTGGGAGGGGGGGAGACAGTAGGCGGTGCCAGGCGGGCTCGGGGTGTCCCGAAGCAACAAGGGGTTTATCGGGGAGCCCTTCCCAGCACGGCAGGGCCGTACCTTCTCCGTCTCACGGCTGCACTTGATGATGAAGATGTTGGCGTAGATGTCCTCCACACACATCCAGTTGGAGAGGGACAGCGTGGTGTCCGTCCAGACCCAGTCCATGACGGCCCGCAGCTCCACCAGGAAAGGCACGAGGCGAAACCTGGCGGGGGACATGGGGAGAGGAGGCTGGTACGGCACCCTCCGGGCACCCAGGGGTCTACGGGGACCCACGCCGTACCCCTGGAAGAGGAAGAGGTTGAGGTGGTTGTATTTCTTGGTGAGGAAGTTGCCCAGGATGCGGGTGGGGTAGCCGCAGCGGATCTGGTAGGCCGACAGCGAGAAGTAGATGCACTTCACGAAGTACCACAGCTGAGCCACCGTGTTGAGGCTGAACAACCTGTGGGAGGGAGGTGTCACCCTTCCGGCCACCTCCTTGGTCAGGCTGGGCCACCACGTCGGCTTGGGGACAACAAAGGTGTGTGCCCTTGGGGGGACATCCTTGAGGGATGCCTGGTACCTTTCGGTGACGGCTGGCAGGATGAAGAACATCCAGAGGTGGATGCTGAAGACCAGGATGACCTGGAAGATGAGCTTGCCCAGCACGGTTTTGCGGAGGTAGAGCGCCCGGTCGATGACCATGGTGGTGAACTGGATGAGCAGCATGACCAGGAAAGCCTCGGGCACTTGGTCATCCGACAGCGAGGAGGTGATGTCGGCGGCGGCCGTGTGTTTCTGGGGGTGCAGGAGAGGTCAGGATACGGCCCAGCCTGACCCCGCGGTGGGAGCTGGCCCGTTGGTGACCCTGCAGGAACCCCCCCCCCCCCCGCTCACCCCGAAAGCCCAGAAGCCGAAGATGATGATGATGAAGTCGACCACGTCAGCCAGGAACATGAAGGCGTAGACGTCGGTGGCCGCCCGGTGCCGGGTGTGCAGGATATCCCGGAAAAACCTGCGCACGGGCTGGTACGTGTTCTGCGCCCTGGAGGGGACAGAGGGGGACGGGTGACCAGGGGCTGCACCCCCAATCCCCCACCCCAACCAGCACCACCGGGCACTCACATGGTGAGGAAGAAGAGCTTGATTTGCAGCCCAAACGCCTTCAGCTTCTTCCGAGCATGGCTCTGTTTGGCCTCTTCTTCCTCCTCCTCCTCTTCCTCCCCCTCCTCCCCAACCCCTGCGAGTGAGGCACAGCATGGGTGACAGCCAGGGTCCTGCAGGGCCACATCCTGCCCAGCCTCAGCACCCCTCTTTCCCCAAGAGTCACCAGCCTTGCCCCTCACCGGGGCGTGAGGGCCGGGAACTGGTGCTCACCTTCCTCCGGAGCCGCCTCCGGCTGCTTCTTCCCTCGCCTCCTCTTCCTCCTGAAGCGGAGCTGCGTGGCCCCGGCCCCCTCTTCTTGCCCCCCGGCATCGCCCTCTGGCTCCGGCCCCACGGCTGCGCCTGGTGCCCCCGGCTCTGCCAGCGCCTCCGTCCCATCCTCACCCACCGCCACGGGTGGGGACGCTGCTTCCTCCCTCCTCTCCTCCTCTTCCTCATCCTCCGCCCTCTCCGCCTCCTCCTTCTTCTTGGGGAAGGGGTTCTCCTCGTGGTCCCACAGCCCGTAGGACTGGGGAGGGCCGTGGGTCAGGGGGGGGATGGGGTTCCTGATGCCCCCCAGCCCCACTCACCTCACCCCCCGCCCCAATCCTGCAGCATCAGCTCCCGTTGCAACCCAACTAGCGATGGGTGCCTTGGGTGGAAACCACGGCAGAGCCCCCATCATCCCCAGGAGCACCTTGGGGGATGCCCACCCAGGCGGTGCCCGCTCCCCGGGGCTCACCAGCAGCAGGGAGCGATGGAAGAAGAGGGCCAGGAGCTGGATGAGGTCATATTTGATGTAACGGTCGCTCTTCTCCAAGCCCAGGATGCGGGGTGGGAAGAAGGGCTTGCCCTCGTTGCGTACCAGCATGGTGTAGCCGTTCCAGGGGAAGAACCCAAACTGGAAGAGGTATTTCACCACCACCATCACCTGCGGGGGACACTGGGGTCAGCGGGTGGCAGCCGGGGGGGCCGGGTGGCATCGTCCCCTCCCCGGTTACCCCCTTGCCAACCTCGGTGAAGATGATGGCGGTCATCCAGAAGCGCTTGCTGGGCCGGGGGATGGAGAGCATAGCCCAGAGGAAGACGAGGATGGGCAGGAAGAGGGAGATGACGGAGGCGGTCACCATGTTGTTGAGGATGATGATGAAGTAGCAGAGCAGCTCGGAGTGAGCGGCCACGCAGCGGTACCCGGCCAGCAGCAGCTTCAGGAATCGGTTGTGGGACTGATGAAACTGCTCCGACTCTTCCAGCTCGGGGAAGTACAGCCGCCTGCGGGGTTGCAAGGGGGGGGGTGGGTGTGTGAGCTGGCCCCGCCACCCCCAGATCCCCCCTCCCCACCGTCCCCACGTCCCCGTACCTGCTCAAGAGGAGCTCGCTGGCCGTCCGGCTCCGGTTTTGGGGCAGAGCCAGGAGCTCCTGAGATCCGGCCACGTTGTCCCAGGACCCCCAGGTTGT